CAATTTGATGTGATTGTGCAGACGCCTCCGAGGTGTTGGTGTCCCAGAGGGCTTGGAGATGTCTGGGCAAGAATTTGGTGTGTATGTGTGTGCGTGTGTGCCTGCTGAAGGAGGAAGGGGAACTTCAAGCAGATGCAGATTGCATCTTTCTCCCTCCCCCCTCTCTCTCCGCCCCACTTCTCGGACTGTGGGCTACTTTTGCAAATAGCGATTACTGCTAGTTAAATATACATAGATTGTTTCGTTCCGTACTAGAAGTTATTTCCCCCTGCCAGTTAATTGAAGCAATGCTTTAGTTCGAAAAGGAGATGTTCCCCATTCAGACATGCTTAGGAAATGAAAGGCGTTAAGAAAGATTAAACTCTGGGCAGGGCACTCCCAAAGGAGATGGCCAGAGCACCTGCCTCCTGGAAACTAACCTTCAGCTCCTTACTACAAGGATGTTGGTTTATTTTTCTCTTCTGCCTTATGGGACGCAAGGTATGAATAAGGAATAAGGAGAGAAAGTCTCCTCTTTTTCAAGGCGGGATCAGTTGCTCCCTTCTCACAGTAGAACCACATGCGAACGTGCATTTTTTAATACATAAGAAATGAAATGTGACAAGAGAGCCATAGGCGCTTGTGCTGAATGCATGTTACATGTTTGTATTGTGTGTATGGATTGATGAGTGGATTTCCCTTCCCCTTATTACTTCATTAGCAGAACCGCTCATCCCCACCCTCCACTGGCTTTCCAGAAGCTAAGCCAAACCCTGGGATTTTTGCTTCAGGGTGTCTTTCCAGAGTGTTTAAAGTTGACCCTTTCTCCTGGCCACAGCCATTTCCCCTCTCCGAGTGGCCATCCCTCCTAGCGCCACCCCTAATTGAATTAATTGCCATGGGACATCTAATTTCTTCACTGGCCAGAGTGAGGTTTAATTGTTATAAAAACTTGGCTCCCCTGCTCGAAATGGGGTTAGCAATTTCACGGGCTATAGATTTCAGAGAGCCTCATTAAATTGCTGGGGTCTTTCTCTTACTTCCCTCCCCCCTCTCTCCCATCTTCCTTGCCATGGAATTCCAGTTCCAAGCAAACCCAGATTATCAGATGAGCGGTGATGACACGCAGCACATCCAGCAGTTTTATGATCTCTTAACTGGTTCCATGGATATTATCCGGGGCTGGGCAGAAAAGATCCCCGGCTTCACTGACCTTCCCAAACAAGACCAAGACCTGCTGTTTGAATCTGCCTTCCTGGAACTGTTCGTCCTGCGGCTAGCCTATAGGTAAGTAGGAAGTGCTCTCTCCAAGTTGAAGGTCACCTGCAAGTGTATAGGTGGATGTGCAGGCCTGTGGGATACATGTGCACACCCAGACACATCCCTTGCGATCCTTGTGATGTGCAACCCTGCGCCGTTCAAGGTCCGCTGAGCTGCGTTTTTATTAACTCCTCAGTAATTAGGTCCCTCTTAAGCCTTCCATTTATTGCTTGGCGAATAATTAGTTGTTTGCCTTTCTCTATTCCCCCTCTCCCCTTTTCTGGCCGCCCTGTAAACCCCTCCCCCCACGCAGGTCAAACCCCGTGGAAGGGAAGCTCATCTTTTGTAATGGTGTGGTCCTGCACCGGCTGCAATGTGTCCGTGGGTTCGGGGAATGGATCGATTCCATTGTGGAGTTCTCTTCCAGCCTGCAGAATATGAACGTTGATATCTCTGCCTTCTCCTGCATAGCTGCTCTAGCCATGGTGACAGGTGAGACCCAGCTTCTGGCTCTTCCTCTTCCTCTTTATTCTGATCACCCAGGGGTGTTTTATTTCAGATTAAGTGATCTGGAATAAGTAACCAGTTTCTCCATATTAGTGATGAGTATAGATTAATTTTTAAAAGGAATTTTAGTCTTTCTGGGCAAGCTGAAAATCTCTGCCCTATTCCCTGTTTCAACTTGTCAGGGCAGATGAGAATTCTCAGTTAGAAGAGCTCCACATTCCTCCAATATAGAGTTAAAATCCATAATAGGTCACACTCCTTGTCTTTGTTTTATTTTAGAAGTTCTAAACTGCGTATTGGGTTTTCTCACTTCTTTTCCCATAAACTCCTGTTTTTTTGAAAAAAAATAATTCTGGATTATGTAAACCTATTCCTTTAACCTTCCCATGCCCCTATTTAAAGTAAACTAGAGTTTATCATTATGTCCTGGATGAATATGAAGTAATCCAAAGTAATTGCCCTTTTATACAATCACCATTGGCAATAGGGAATAGAATTCACAAATCAAGATATATGCATGGAGACATGTTTATGTTCACATGACACACTGAATCACAAAGTAGCCAATCATATTTTATTTTAATATGGTAGACAATCCAACCCCTGTGATTAACTTAAGGTCCAGCATGCCTGCCAATCCAGAGTATTGGGCTAATTGATCAAACCATGGAGGGGCTGTTATGAACAGAAGCTTTATGAGAGACCATTTATGTTTGAATTGCCATAATACAGATAGTTCTGTGGCACACTGGAAGTTCAAGGGTACTGACTCAAATGGAGGAGTTGCAATCTGACCCACAAACTGCAATTTCACAATGCTGTCTAATTTGTAGAAAGAATTTCTAATTTGTAAAAATGAAATAAAGTCCCTTGAGTTCAGAAACTTCAGTTTATTCCAAACTATGTTGTTTAGCATTGGAACTTTAAGGAGTAAGAGATAGTTAAAGCAGGGGTAGGATTTCCCGATGCATAATTGGTAGTCTCCTAACAAGGCCTGTTGAAGTGCCCCTCCCTCAGCCACCCCCTTAGATTGGTCCAGAGCTGGGTCTAAATCAGCCATTTCTTGTCCTTTGCAGAAAGGCACGGCCTGAAGGAGCCCAAACGGGTAGAAGAACTACAGAACAAGATTGTCAATTGCCTCAAGGACCACGTGACTTTCAACAACGGCGGCCTGAACCGGCCAAATTACTTGTCGAAACTCCTGGGCAAGCTCCCGGAACTGCGCACTCTCTGCACGCAAGGCCTGCAGCGTATTTTCTACCTGAAACTGGAAGATTTGGTGCCGCCGCCAGCAATAATTGACAAACTTTTCTTGGACACTTTACCTTTTTAAAAAAACAAAGACAGAGAGAGGGAGAGAGAGAAAGTGTAAGGGAAGGGAGGGAAATCTAGAAAGAAAGACAATGCTGCTGCGCTCTCAGAGTTGAAGAACTTTCAAAGCCTCGAAGGTGGGGGGGGAATGCGAGCAAGCAAGGAGATCGCAGCCCCAGGAGGAAAGCGAGAGCCCCCTCCCCCCCATAAGGAAGGAGCACCTCCGGCTGTCGCATGCTCCCACCCCTCCAAACTGTGGCTTAGCTTGTCCTGCAGAACAGTGACTGAAAACTGGGGACTTTGGCCACGCTGAATTCCGTTCCTTGGACTACACACAGATTCCCATGGTACAAGCTTTTTATTCTTGCCTAAACAAACAAGCAAACAAACAAACAAAAAAGGCTCTTTCGCTCCCATCCACTCCCCTTCTCCCCCCTACCCAAAGCAAAAACGACACACACATTTTTGTTTTTTAAAAAAAGTGTTCATTACTATGATTGTGAGAATGGCTGTGACCAAGGACTAAAAGTTAGGAAGCTGAGTCTTTCTTGGGCTTTAGCTGCTGCTGCTGCTGCTGGCAAGAGTATTAAGATGACCCACTCACTCCCCTTCCTCCTTTCTTAAGACCTTTAAAGTGTTTTCTGCTGTAAAGGGAAAGCTGTAATATATAAAAGATGGAATTAAGGGTGGGGGAGGGAGAGGGTGCAGCATGAATCGACAGAAGGCAAAGGATTGTACACTTAACCAGATGCAGTTTGGCTTTTTCTTTCTAAAAAACAAAGCAAAACTATTCTGTGCCTATTTATGAATAAGCTATTCAAAACCATTATAAAATTAGAGGGAGGGAAAAAGAGACTAAATCAAAGGGATTTGGACAAAAAGATTTGATTATTTAAGATTTAAATCAAAAGAAAGTGATGATTCTAGGAAGACAATGTTATTATAGGCACTTGCTATTTCAGTAATGTCTATATTCTATAAATAGTTATTTCAGACACTATGTAGTCTGCTAGATTTTATAAAGATTGGTAGTTCTCTAAGAAGCTTCAAACGTTTTTCTCAGTTGTAAAATAGGTGGGCACAGGTGTTACACAAATCCAACAGACTCCCCACCCACATCCATTTCTGGAAAAATCTTCCAAAAGGGACCCATATTTCCGTGTTTGTAAACACCGTTTGGCATTCCTTGTTTGTAAGTGTCGTATGTATTGTTGATGCTGATTAAAAAGAAAACAGTTTATATCTTGATCATTTTGTTGTCTGAGGAGAAACCAGTCTTGCATGCACAAGCTTTTTTGACTATTTCCAGAGTGTTTATCTCATATATAGATCTCCCTGGAAATTATTGAGCACTTTGTCTTTTTATTTCAAGTTTCTTTTGTTGAGGGAGGGAGTTGTTTTTTTAATGCCTAAAATTGTTAATATATTATTTTACGTATCAATACAATGTTTTTTAATGCCATATTCTGTAGTATATCTATTTTTCTTTGTATATTTCCAGTATGGCATATTTTAAAATCACTGACTCTTCCCTTTCCTCTCTCCCACTCTACCCACCCCACAATTTCTCCATGTGGTGTATATGACAGTTAGAAGCTGACACTTTCTCCCTAAACTCTTTCTTGGAGAAAGATAATTTTAATGTTTACAGCAAATAAATCCATGTCAACGAACAGAATCCCGTCTTTTTTCTCTTTAGGAAAAAAAAGTCCCAGAAGCCTCCCATGATAGATAGTTACTCGGATGATGATGATGGTGAGGATGATTCATAGCACTGAAACAGCAGGTTAAAGAAATGCTATATCTATGATGGCTTATCTGACCTGGGAAAAGGAATTTGCTGTTTTAAGTGGTAAAAGGAGGCAAAGCTAAGATGTATAGTTTACTTTCTTTTTCTAACTTCAGTACCATGTAGTGTTTGTTGTTTCTACCATTTTAGCCTTCCTTTGAAAACTCTGGGAACCTAAGTTAAATATATAAATATTTGCCTTATCTAGCTCTAACAAATTAAATAGGTCTTACTTAGTGCAATGCATTCTAGTGGAATTAACTTTTGTGAGTAATCTGTGCATCAATCTCTGATTCTGAATGAGTTTGTTCTACAGCAAATAGAGTAGGCAAGATGTAGCAAAAAAGAAATGGGTTAGAAACAGGCTGGAATAAGTTAAGGTATTTGGAATTGGAGCAGTTATGTCCATTGCTGAAATTTAAATAGGCTACATTGGATGAAATTGATTTTAACGGGCAGTAGGCATGCATGTGTGACGCCATATACCTGTGGCATGTTTAGTGGAAAGCAAGTTCCACAGAGTTTAAAGAATCTGAGGATCTCCTAACTGCAAAAGGCTGCCGTCTTACTTTATTTACAATGAAATGCTAAGAATACAACCCAAACACATTCCTGTTGAATTCACAGGACTCTTTTCCAGAGAAGCATGTGGTTACATTCCTAAATCGTTTAGTAATGTAAATATAATTTGAATTCAGTGTGATTTTTACAGAATAGGCAGAATAAGGTTTGGACAAAAAAAATAATGCTTCTGTACTTCATGTGGAAGAAAAATGGTTTAATTCAATGGAATTTTCTGCAGACTAGGTATATTTAGGTTTGGGCTAATGGAAATCCATGGAGTGTTGAACCTTCCCCAATAAGGTTTAGGAAGTGGAAGTCAAGCAATCCTGCACATGCTAAAGATCTGGGAGTGTATCTTATTGTACTTGAATACAATATCTTCATTTCTTTTAAAAGAATGTAAGGTTTTTATTAGCATAGTAGGATTTTTAATATATATTTGAAAAACAACACCAACATTAAATGCATAAGCGAAGGAAACGTATCTTTGGAGATCCCCCCGAGTCATTAAACTTCAAACTCAATTTATTTCAAACCAAAATATATAGCCAGGTGCGGGACACAGCTAAGAAACTTGATGGGAGGATCCGTGTTTTAGATAGAAACACATTTGCGAGAAGGCGCTTTTCAAAAATATATGTTTTCGGGTGGGGGTACCAACGCTGATATTAACATTATTATTATTATTTGGGGGGGAGGTTTCATAATTCACACAACTACTGTATTTGGCTGTCTGTTTTGAATTGCGGGGTCAGAAGTAGTAGCTAGTTTTAAGTTTTCTCTCCATTCTTCCTGTGCTTACCAGCATCAAGCGGCTTGGGAAGGCGGGGTGGGGTGGGGGATGAACGGACGGCTAAAACGAGACACCTGGTCGTTGGGATCAAGGAAAGATGACATTCGAGATAAATAATGATAATAATAATAACAACAACAATAACAATTGCTGTTGTTTGTCCAAGGTGGGAATCCGTCGGATCCCTAGCCTTAGTTTGATGCAACGCACGCAGGAGTCAGGTCGGGGGAAACAGCTGGTTTTCCAGGGAAAGGTTCTTAAGATTGCGCAGCCGACGCGAGCCTGTCCGGGCGTGGGCCCCGGGGGTTTGAGCGGGGCTTTATTCTTAAGAAAGGGGGAGAAGGAGCGCGCGGCCTGCCACGCTCGAGCGGTTCTCAGAGCCAGCGCCCTTCTTCTTTCCAGATTGGCTCTTTCGGCGGGTCCTTGTCGGACCGTCGCGAGGCCTCTTTTCCGGCATAACTGGAGCTCAGAAACGATGCGGGGCTAGGAGACGGCTACCTTTAGGGCTGGCAGCAAAGGACCGGTGTGTGTGTGTGTCTAACTCAGCCATGGGTTCAAAATCATACTCTCTCTTTTTGGGGGCAACGTTCCCCAGAGATGTCAAACTCTCCTTTAGCCCCCACCCCGTCGAGCCAACAACCGGAGCGTGTGGCTCTACAAGGGTCGCGCGTGCAGTTCGTCTTTCGGACCGTCCCGGTTTATGTGTCATTTCATTATTTCATTTTTCGAGGCAACAAGCAATTATACAAGTTGTAAGAAAGAGAGTAGGGGTTCTAAGGGCTCTCCGGAAGACTTTAGACTAGAAGCGAGCAATCTCTTCAGGCAAGAGAAGCCTGAGGGAATTCGGACAAGCCCCGTCTCTCCCTCCCTCCCTCCCTCCCTCTCTCTCTGTGAAAATTTCCCGCCCGAAAAGTAGCGGTTCCTTCACAGAAAGCGCGCCCAGCGTAAGGCAGCTCGACGCTGCGCTCTCTTTTCCCGCCCATTTGCAGGCAGGAGGCTACGGCTGCTTCAAGGCAGGAGGACGGGCGCCTCCACCACACCCCCATCTTCGTGCCCCTCCGCCAGCCTAGCCCGGCTGTTTTAACGGGAGCGGAAAGGGGAGGTTGTACCCCCCCACACTTTTCTCGAGGCTTTTCTGGTGTGTGTGTGTGTGTG